AAAAATCCTGACTATGCGTCGGACGGTCGCAAACCTGCACAGACCTCAAGCGGAAGTGCGAAGACAAAACACAGCTATGATTGGTCCTTGGTATGCCTTTCCGGCTGTCTGTTTGGTTGTCCTTCTCGATTCGATGTTGGGGCGCACCATTTTTAAAAACCGAGGAACAACTACAATGGACAACTACGACGAAAGGTTAATCGAGGAAGTTTGGAAGTACAATCCAATGAAGTTGTCACGACTTCTCGAATACGCTCCCCATTGCGCTTTGGCGGGAAACTGCTTTGCGTCCGTAGAAATTCCAGACAGACAGTGCAGAAGCATACCAGCAAAACTTGTTCGCGACCAGAACCAAGCGACATTTGATGTGTGCTTGGGTCTGGTGCAGTAAACAACACTGAGAATATAAATGAATTTAGGATGCCATCCTGGTGTGCTGCTTTTTCCTCCAGCTTAGACAACGTCTAACATTGCCCCACATCGGAATAAGTTCAATAAAATAATTAAATTGTCTTATACGACATAAGTACCTGTAGCATCAGACACTGGATATATGTAAGAGATACATGTTTGCAGTTCTCTTAAGCTGCTTTAGAGTGCCTCTATGACGAACCCTTACCTTTGGTTCAAGGTAAATGCTGGTCAGTCAGTAATGCACACTTTGATTTTTGTAAGTTGTTCTTCACCAGCAGAGATATTTCCTTTAAGTTACAGTCAAGTTGGAAGATAATCTAAATTTAGTTTCTTTACACATTGTTTTTACAGGTCTGACGAACTTAGCCGCTCTATTTTTGGCTCATTAAAAGATACAGTATGCAAGAACAAAAGTATTTTTCCACAAACACTGTTCTTCTAACTGAAAGCAACATTAATGTTTTCTATGGGATCAGACTCTGGTCCTATACAAGTAACAAATCTGTGGAGGGGCAGGAAGATTGGAGTAATAGTAATAAGACCTTCCAATGTCAAAGTTCGCTTCAGAAAAATCAACAAAATACAAGCAAAAACATGTAAAAAGCTGATCAATAATTATGAGGAGAGGTTGATTGCTGCACTGAAAAAATGTGTTTTTCTCCCACTGATTACTGAAAACGGTAAAAACCATTTTTATTAAATGTAACTAAAAGAGACTTTTTTTTCAAAGCTGATGCTCATTATGAATAATTTTATAATCCTCAGACATTAATTATTTCCCCTAACTGTTCTGGTTGAAATAAAAAACTTTTCAATCTTAACCTCCAGCACCAAAAAAAAAAAAAAGTACTTATTCCCTCTTTCTCCAGGATGTCCTTTGTATCCTTCTCTTTTTCTTTGTCTAAAACCAGTGCGGTCTGTCCCTGTGCAATGCTTGACTGATTATTTTTTTGGGAAAACAACTCCTGATTTGGCATACAGCTACACAAAAATATGAGAACAAAAACTGAAAAATGTTGTTGCATTATGTTGTCGTATAGCATAAAGGGTTGGGTTTCTTTCTGAAAATGGCATGATTTAGGAAAGGTTTCACAGTGCAAGGATTTGCAAGCATCTCCATCATCGAGTACACAGAAAATATAAAGCTTGCTTGGAAAGACTGGCCAGAAACATGCTCAGTATGAGTTACTGCACTGAAAAAATGTAAATACTATTATGTTTTTCTGTCCTTGAAGCCAAACTTTTATGGTAAGGCAAATTAATTGCCTGTAACTGGTCTCTTTTTTGCACAGTTTCTGGATCTCTTTCTAACCAGTTTGTCTAGTATAGATTTAAAGTAGTCTTCTTAAAATTATTTACTGGCTACTACATATACAAGTGGAAAACGTGAAAAAAAAACAAATATGATAAAGAAAAACTAAGCAAAACAACACTCAAACAGTAGGGTAGAAACACCGACAGATACAATAAACAGAAAAAACCGACAAGAAGTTTCGAATGTTGGTTGGCTTTTAACTGCTGAGGAGATGATCAGTGACATTAGAATAAACTGGTAAGTATGACTAGCAGAGTAGAATACAACTGAGTAAAGGCTAGAACTGAGAAACTGAATAAAAGGGACTAATAGTAACAGAGATCAACCCACTGGGATCTACAAGAGCAAAGAAACACCTGACTGACCCAAGGACTAAAATGTATGAAGTGAAAACTGGTACATTTTGGAAAAATACTTTGAATTCCATCTCAATTTTTTTGTTTAACAAAGACTTTCCCAGTGAAATGTGTTCTGTTGCCTAGAATATGTTAATAAGTGGTATCCCCATCAACCAGAGATGGAAGCTGAGGTGGTTTCTTGCAAAAAACAACAACAAAAAACCCCCCAGATAACATCAGGTAGAACTCGCATGAGGAGCAAAGAAACGATGATGAACCAGCAAAGAGTAACTAAGGAGGACTTGTATATATGGGAGACAGAAACAATGGGGGGACTAAATAGCAGATGAGGAACAGGTGTGGACAGAAGAATCTAGAAGGGAGCTAGGGGAGGGAGATTGACACCAGAGGGCAACAAAGAGCAAACAAGAAATACATAAAAACTCAAATACAACCAAACACAGCTAGAATAACACAAAAATGGAAATAAAACCGAATAAAAGTAGAAAAAGAAAATTAAACAGAACCAAAACCATGGCACTCCTATTGATGGAAAACTTTAATGTTTTGAAATGTTGTCTGGACGGCACAGTAAAGGACTTAACTTGGTGGGTAAACAGTTTAGCTGCAGATTGTGTGCAGTGACACCATTATGGATAAGAATATGAAGGAAAACAGTTGAATGCTGGTGGGCAGAATAGAGAGAGACCCTCTGGACCAGATAAAAAATGTTGCTGCAGCAATTATAGCCACAATTTTTAATGACCTATTTAAATTTTTAATAGAATTTTTAGATAACTTAACATTCCTGAGTTTTAGTGGAATGAGAGGGAAAATGATGATAAAGCAGTTACCAAATACCAAATAAGGATATTGTGTTAATAGGAACTCAATGGTCATCAAGTAGAGAATGGGTTAGTTTGTGTGGCTGAGGTGGAAACAGCGGATGGAGGATGCCGATATCCAATCAGAGTATGGTCGTTATCAATGTTTCAAGAACTGAACTTACGAGGAGGTTTAAGGGGCAGATGCAAATGCTGACAGAGCCATAGAGAAGCCAGACCTGGCTAGAAAGACAAAATGGAAAGGATCAAATCTGAAAACACAGACAAACAAGCAAAACATCTTTCTTTTTCTGAATTTTTGTTTACAAAAATATCTTGACATCATTATAATCCTGTGGGCCCTTAGTTTGACAATAATATCTCCAAGAGTAGTTTACGCATCTCATATGAATTATTGGTTGATATACTGCAAAATCTCCCCAGTAAACCAAGACAAAACAAAAACAAACAAACAGAAACGTTGAAATAAAATAAATATTTTATTGATGTTTCACAATTTAAACTTGGCTAAAAAATCTAAATAGCAAATTTGTCTCTATGTGAGCGCACATACAAATAGAAATATTCCCTGCTATTCTTTTGACCAAAACATTCAGATGACTGTTAGATATCTTTAAAAAAAAATAACATTATGATCCTATGAACCTGCTGAGGACCATCATGTTTTTAGAACACCCACTGAAGCTGGTGGTAAATGCAAGCACTTAGCAAACTGGTGCTGATAATGACTAATTAGGTGCAATTTAAAAAATAGCATTTTGTCAAAGTTGACAGCAGGAAAAGGGTCAAGCTCTCTGTGCTCAGCAGCTGGAGCACCACTTTACCTTACATCCTGAATTATCTCTTACCTTTAACAGTCATTTATCAAATCTGCAGTACAAAGTCAGACATTAAATAACCTCACCAGACACTTTGCACAAAGTTGAACTTACTTTTTGGCTTTTATGATCTCTTCAGATCCTTACAAATTCATGAAGGTATTAGTTATTTTTTACAAGATAGCATCACACCGATGCAGCAGAGCTGTTGTCTGAAACATCCATTGTATGAACCTCCTGTTCCATTACTTTGTTCTTTTGGACTGAGATTAGCCGATGGTAGAGACCGTTGGAGAACCCATTGCCATGTTCAAAAAAGTTGTATGTTCAAATTTTTCCCTTTAAAGCATCGTCCTACCATGTCCACTGGATGTGCTGCACAGCGGTTCTTCAACCAGGTTAAATTGAGATCTTCAACAGTCAGGTTTAACATGCACCCAAAGGGAAACTGGATCTAGGAATCAATGGATTATTTGACATCATATATCAACAAATGAGGAATCAAGACTTTATGTTAGCATCATTTTACCAAAATCACCAAGTAAAAAATCTATTTTGTGCCTTCGATCCTCATCCATGGCAATAGAGTTGATTAAGAGGCTCAAAATGCTTGTTTACATGATCAGACGCCATCTTTCAAGTCATGTTTGACTTTCCAGGTTATCCACATTTACTCAACAAACAACCTTGTGAGCATCATGGGGATTGTTGTAATAACAATAACAGCATATTTCCACATATTCTGACTAATTTCTGTTTGTTTAGCTTTTGAAAATAAACTGAATAGGATGCTAAATATAATAGATACAAATTTTGCACAAACTCCAAGTTGGTATTCATTTGAGTCACAAAGCCACATGCTTTTTAATCATAATCCTTCAAATTGATTATTGGGTTCTCAGACTCCAGGCAGAGATGAAATTATCAGCACCTGATTGGGCAAATCAATGAGCAACACGGAGTACTCGGTCTGCAGAGCCGGCCTATGAGCGGGTAGCATTGCAGAACATTAATAACACATGTACACAATAATATTACCACTTCAGTGCATCTAATTGCCCCTTTTCCATAGCACTTGGCTCTGAGTAGAAAAATAAAAGATCTTTATGTAGATGCTTCTTCTAGTTTACCTTTCAACAGAAAACAAATATATTTACAAAACAGACAAATATAAGCATTTGCTAAAATGATTCTTCCAGGATAAATGCATGCATGATCCCTTTCAATCCTTTAGAGTCAACAGATGTTTCACAAAAAAACAATGTGGGAACTTTCAGTAACGGCTTTATTAAATTAGTGCAAAAGACAGACAGAACTCATTCATAATGTCCTCTTTAGTTTAAGTTGGTCTTCCAGACAAACCTATACATGGCAAGTTTCTCCAATGAATGCCAACAACAGAGAGCAAAACTATCCACCAAAACCAAATTCTTTGTTTTCTTCTTACACAATTTCTTTTGACTTGTAATGAGAGATGGACAGAGAACAGGAAAGGCAAAAATGACGGGAGATCCAAACCTAATACAGCTGCAATCAACAAAACATCACTCCTGATTGTGCAATTAATCACACATTAAAAAGGAAAACAATAGAAACTAAAGAAAACAACTAAATATGTTACAGTAAAACAGTGAACACAACAATAGCTTTAGAAATAGTTTCTAAATTCACAGAAAAAAAGGGTTTTCAGTTTTTAAAAGTATGTACTGTGTGTATGACAAAAAATGTTGCAATCAAACTACATAAGTTAATCAATACTGTATATTTATACAATGGTAAAAAATAAAAATATTTATATAATAGTACTTTTTTTTAAGGTTCACACCATTACTGTAAAGATTTACTGATTTCCACTCCATGACAACTAATGCAATAGGAACAGAAGCAAATTAAAGAAACAACTCCAGAGTCTCTTACTTTGAAGGCTTATGGCTACAACCTTGTCCTAAAAGACCACAACCACCGCAGAAAAAGAAAAACAGGTTTTTGTTCTTTCTGCTTCAAGACAAAAAAACAAGAGCAAACACGGTCTGTGACGAGAAAACAAAAGAACACGTCAAAAAAAGTCACCGCTCTTCAGCAACCAGGACAGCAGCTGAGCCGCTGCAGTGTTCGCTGGCCCGGCGATGGTCACGCAGGTCAATAAAGGACAGACAGGTAAGGAGACGCTTATACGCAGTCAGGCAATCTGCATTGGGGAAGGGGTGGGGGGGACACAGGTGAAAGAGGTAGCCATGAAGGGGGGAGTGGGCAAGGTGGGGGAGATCCATGGGTGTCAACAAGGCTAACAACTGGAGTATTACGGTTCATAAAGAGTTAAACATGTTTTTTGTCTTACAATATCATCATTGACATTCTTTCAAGTATCGCCTAGAGATGTGGCATGATGCCAAGAATAATGCTAACACCCACTATATTTCTGTCACTGCAACAGAGAGGTGCCAAATGCAATACAGTGACAAGTTGAAAAAGTAAATTATAAAATCAATGATGGATGAAAACAAAAAAATATAGAGAGAGAGAAAGATGGAGGAGTCAGAGTGAGAAAAAATAATCTGAAATCAAGACATGAAAAGGCAGGAGAAGAGCAGGCGAATCAAGAAAAAGATGGAGAGAAAGAATGAAGAAGCAAGAAGTCATTCTACTAAAATAACATTAGTGATATACAGCTGCTGTGTCAGTGAGAATATTCTATATTTGCTTGTTTGACTCATTGTGGAGAGATTTCTTCTTGCTGCATCTTCTTCTTGTCCGTCTCTCCTAAGCCTGGGTCGCGTGGGGGGAGATAAGTCGTTGCTTTTCAGTGTTGCAAAAAGGACTATGAGAGGTTTCAGCAGAACTTACAAGCCTGGTGGGAGGAGAATTGGATGAAAGGAAAGGGGGTGAAAGGAACAGGGGAATATGGATAGGAAAGGAAGAAGAAAAGTATAAAAAAAGTGTTATTATCATCAAGCAGAATCTGTTATATCCAACATGTGACTGAACAGGAATGATGATTTAAAAGCACATGAGCTTAATTAAGCTGTACCACAACATTTTCCACTTTCCAGCTACGCCTTTTTCTTTTTGTTTTTCACTTTGGAGTTTTTTTACTGTAGACAACAGTCAGAATAATCCCAGTTTGGAGAAATTCAATGACAAACTAAAAGGTGCAGTGTAAACTGCAGCTTTTTAAGTGAAAACATAAACTTATGTTTTTGCTTTTGTATTTGGCATAAATACAGTAATAAATAAATAAGCATACAATTAATTGCCCTCAAGAATACAATAAACAAATAAATGTAGGTAGAAATTAAATCATACAGTGAGACATTAATGTATACAGTAGCTATATCTCTTTTAATTAGCTTTTTATTTATTTGCCTTTGTAATAATTACCTTATTTATTTATTGTCTGTTATAATCTCCTACTTTATTTATTTATTGCTTATTTTTTAAAGTATTTATTTATGTGCATGTTATAATAATTTTTTCTGTTGTATTCTTCGTTTGTATTTTTTTACACTAACATGATTTAGTGTAAATAAGGAAAGGGTTATCATGCACATAAATAAGTAATAAAAAAAGCAAAAAATAAATAATAATAATAAGATTATAACGGACAATAAATAAATAAGGTAAGTATTACAAAAGCGAATAAATAAATAAAGAAGCTAATTAAAAGAGATATACATTTATGTCTCACTGTATAAGTTAATTTCTACCTACATTTATAATTTGTTTATTGTATTTTTGGAGGCAATTAATTGTATGCTTATTTATTTATTTAGCATTTATTTTATTTATTTTTAAATATGGCAGAGTTGGTCCTCCATAATGTTAACTCTAGACTCTAAGCAAACTTTTACTTCTCTGCTCTACAAAGATTACGTTAAAGTTGCCACTGCAGTTAAAATACAGAAGGTAAGCCACATAACCTCTATTACCCAAAATTCAAAGTCCATTAGGATTAATATAAAAGTATTGCAAATGACAAGGTACAGTTCGGATTACTTCTGTTTCCCTCAGTGATGCAAAGTTATTAGCAAAATCTGAGGCAGGTGCAGGAAAGTGCAAAGACAGGTTTCACCTGAGTGCACTCACACAAACCTGCTGCAGCATGAAATGTGATTTTATTGACTGCCTCTCTGCCAGCCATCTCCACATGGTCTGCTCTATTCTGACATGAATGGAGATGGAGGAGCAACAACAGGCAGCCTCATTCCTGTTTGAGCTTCTCTTAGATTTAATCTTCCTCTCTTCCCCCTTTTGTCTCTTCTATGACATGAATTCAAGGTAAAATGGAACGTTATACGTTTGACTTCTAATTATGTTCTTAAACTGCACTCAGGAACAAAGCAGGAGGTCTCTAATTGTACTTCACATATGAGCATTTGCTAAAAGCTTCACAAGTGCACTTACAAGTCCATGAACTTGTTACACTTTTACTCTTTGATTAAAATGAATTGATTTAAAAGTTTTTATTTTAGCTCCAATATTATTTAAAAATTGTACTCATTTAATGCATAAGTTTGAATGTGTTTTTGGATGAGTGGGGGTTTGAGGCTGTAGGTTCATCGGACGCTGGTACTAAAGTTATTTCCACATGTAAATTTACTTTCTGTGAAATATGCTAATAAATATACTTAAAAGCAAAAGTTGAATATGTTCTCTGACACCTGATAAAATGTTCAATGTCCACTTCAGTTAACCGGTCTCTTCTATCTCTAGGTATAATACCGTATATAATATTTAAATCGATTTCCTTATAGAAGCGAAAATAAATGATACGTTCTAAAGTGCTGGCAGATCAAATCTTCACATGGTAAAATCTTATCAATTATATATCTCATATATTCTCAAACAGGAAAACATCAACAACAATTTTTTTCTTCCACACACAAGATGTACAAAATAATGTTGCCTCTTAAACAGCACTTAGAAACTTGTATTCAACAGTGCAGCAGAAACTAACAGTCATGAGAGTCAAACAAAGATAAGCCCCATCCCATGCTTAAGATCTACGCCTATCTCAAAAAGAATCATATGCTAAAATTCAAGTAGGGTAATTCAAGTAGGGTAAAAAAAAAACTAGTTTTGAAAATGATATGCATCTTTACATTAATTCAGTTGAATATTGCTTTAGCTAAATCAATAGAGAGGATCTAAGTGCCTAATCAGGCTTTAAAAAAATGATAGATTAATCTTCCCTCATGCTGCTCCTCTGTACTGAGATCTCAGATGTTTCTACAGACATGGAGGTCACTTGGTTGTCTGGTAATCATGAGCATGACCGTTGCTTGAACTGCCAGTCTCTCTAAGTCCTCCTCGATTCCTTTGATTTTTTTTCCCCTTCTTGTCTTCTTTTGTTTCTGCTGTTTCCATTGTTTGGTAAAACCTCCTACATTCAAACGGCCATCTTTTTTTTCCCTTCTATGCTTCTCAGTCATCTCTATGTCTGCTTAGTGTGCCATTACCATTTGGTCTGGAAGTCAAGCCTTAATATCCTTTGGTTGGTCTGAAATTTTTCAGACTTTAGAACTGGATCAATGTTAGCTCCACCCACTGACTTAAGACACCTAAACATCTCTTGCGAATTTACTACAGATAATTCAGACCAAACTATAAGTATAGAGGCTGGATTTGTACATGATGAGTGAAACAACTGAAAAGTATAGTGGATAATTTTTTGTGAATTTTTTAAAAGACCCGCCCTTTCCACTTAAAAAAAACAAAAACAAAAAAAACATGCTCTGTTTAAAAGTTGATGTTTGCATCACTCAAACAAGCTTATTTTGCAAAAGAACATTTGCATTTGTTCTACTATGTCAGACTCAGCAGCGATAAGTGAAAATGGGGACGAGCACGTAGGACGGCCTTACGTAAACATATCACCAGAATGATTGACAGTTTGGAGGACCACCTAATTTTAATATTGGAATTAATTTACTTTAAAACAATTGCACTTAATTTTTATAAGTTTAAAGTCATATTAAATTATTTAATGGCACAGTCAATTGTATAATTTTCCATTTTATAATTTAATGGTGCACTTAAATTATCTATTTATATGCTGATGTGTTTTGAGAACAGAAGTAGAACATTTAATGGAACTTAAATTAATTTCATTTCACTTTCATTTATCAATTATATATTTAACTCTATTATAGGCAGTGACCCAGGCTTTCTACAGCAATGTTTTGGTGCTGATGTTGATGTTATTCTCTATTTCTTTCCTTTGTTTCTTGATTTAGTTAAAATAAAGTGGATCATAATTTCAGCTCTAAAATAAGTCTGACTTTTTTGGTTATTGATCTGATCTTTTAATCCCTGTATCATCCTGGCTGTGATGATGACTGTTGCACTGACTGACTTACTTCCTGACTTTTATATCTATCTCTCCATAATACATGAGATTTGAACTAAATAAAGTTTGAATTTAAATACAGAGTTTAAAAAAAAGAATGGCAAATCAACAACATTTTGCTTTATTTAACAGGATTACATATAAGCCTTGCATTTTACTACTAATCTTGCAAAAAGCATGCATGGTGTTGCAAGCATGAAGGTGGAGATTAGTCATAGCTTCTGTGTCTTCGTAGTTTTTTCCCTTTATATTCATTTCTGTTTGTTTCTGAGCAGATTGTGCAACTTCTTCCTCTTTCAGCTCACAACTCGTGTTTTGTTTCACAGGATCACAGTAGGTGTCAGTCAGACAAACGTATGGTGCAGTTTGACTGCTGACATGCCAATATGTCCCGGCGTCATTTTTCTTTCTTTATCCCCCCTTGTCTCGTCCCCTCTCTGTGAGATTAGAGAGCCGTCTTGAGGAATGCGAGCTATAATTCTAGCAGACACTGTGAAACCAAATAGACTTGAAAAATTGTGAAGCGATCGAAGCGTGCCCGAATGAAAATGAATATATAATGTGGAAGATGGTACAGAACGGGTGGAGACGGTTGTTTTTTATGTTTCCCTCAACTCCCCCCTTCCATAACGGCCAGCCACACTTGAAGGAAACTTTAAACTCAAAGTATTGGCTTTTCAAATATAATGAGATTCCCTGGTGGCCCTGTCTCACCTCACAAGAAGAACTGGATATAAGAGGCAACTCTTCCCTCTGGCTAAAAAGTGAAGCCCCTGACATGAGAATACACAGCTGAATCAATTCAGCGCAGCTTTAACACCGACTGTGGAGTCGCCAGCCAGAAATGGATGAAAGACAGCATTTGGTAGAAAGAAGCAGGAGAAAGATGGAGTCAGACGAGTTACATATTATCACTTTAACTGAGGTGGGCTTGGTAACAAATGACTCACTTTATATTACAACCAGCAGAATCCACCAAATGTGGCTCTGCAGTGATTAAGGGAGGGAAGGTCTCATAATGACTCCTGCTGCGTTACATTGCCTCTTGATGCATGTTTGCATGTCGGGCTGTTGATCCATTTCAGGCATAAACCCACAGAGATGCAAACTTGTGAATAAACTGAGTGAGCGTGAGGATTCATCACCCCAGGCATCTTGCTTTCACATACAGTCGATGCTTAGAGAGAAAAAAAAAAGAAAAAGTTACACATCATGCAAAAAGTAGTACAGTAGGAAGTGAGAATATTTCTTTTTGAGGACCATAAAAAGGAACAACAAAAAACAACAACAAAAAATTCCTATGGAGGAAAATGACTAAATAGAAAAGACAAGGTCACTGAAGTTGACTTGTCGCTAGTTCTCTAAAAAGTGTTAGCCCAATGCATAAATGTCAATTTAACAAGCTGCAGGAGAAGAAGAATAGATCAGGACGCCGGACGGAACAGAGACCTTTTCTGTTCCTTTGCAACCCGCGGAGCAGAAAGGAGGGTGACAGTTGATTA